AGGGTTTCGGGTTTTGGGTTTTTGGGGTATACGGTTGATGATATAAATCCTGCATTACCGCTGACCCAAGGACTGTAAACTATGGGAATTATAGTATGTTCCTCACTAAGGGTAATGCAGGATTTATACCATCAACCTTTTCGTGATAACGAATCTATGGACACCGATACTTGGAGGATCATGGGACTTAGTAAGTAAGGTTATAAGTCCCTTAATTGGGGTTATAAGTATAGTTACCCTAATTACAGCCCTACTTACGAAGTCCCATGATCCTTTAGTCCTAAACCCTAAACCCTATACCCTAAACCCCTAAACCCTAAGCCCTAAGCCCTAAACCCCAAACCCTAAACCCTAAACCATACTGACTAAGTCCCATAATCCTTTACGTAAGGTTCTTGAAGAGCAACAGCACTTGGCCCGTCATCGAAGTGGCCGACGTCATTTTAGAGAGGCCGACCGCGAACTGCGAAATCAAGTTCGACGCATCCCACTTGGGCTACTGGGCCTACTGGGTCCCAAAAGTGTAGTAGGGGTTTGGGGGGGTTTAAGGTTTAGGGTTTTGGGGGGGTTTATAGGGTTTAGGGTTGAGGGTTGAGGGTTCAGGGTTTTGGGGGTTTTAGGGCTTAGGGTTTTGGGAGGTTTCAGGGCTTTGGGTTTTGGGGTTTCAGGGTTTTGGCGGTTTTAGGGTATAGGGTTGAGTATCCTTTTCACCCTTTCGTGTCTCGATTTCCGACGACTTTTGCCGCTGAGTCCCTACATGTTCAGGCTTTAGCTGACCCCCCAAAGTACCCTTTTATGCAGCCCATGTGGTCTGAAATAGTGGGTATTTGGGGTATAATTGGGGTAGTTGGGGGGTCTTGGTAGGGATTGGTATCCTTTTCACCCTAAACCCTAAACCCCTAAACCCTAAACCCTAAACTGGGTATCCTTTTCACCCTTATGGTGTCTCGTCTTCGGACCAACTTATGTTTGGAGGATATTGCGGAGCCGAGGCTACTATGCCACAAACGCAAGCTGCCTCACCGGCTATGTGGAGGCCGTGTCAAGCTTGGAGCAGCCTCAATTAGGGTTTAGGGTTTAGGGTTTAGTATAGGGTTTAGGGTTTAGGGTTTAGTATAGGGTTTAGGGTTTAGGGTAGTAACCTCTAAACCCTAAAACCCTAAACCTGAAAACCCTGAACCTCTAAACCCAAAATGCCCTAAACCTGAAAACCCTAAAACCCTCAACCCCTGAACCATAAAGCCCTACGTCTGAAAACCCTTAAACCCTCAACCCCTAAACCATAAAACCCTAAACCTGAAAACCCTTAAACCATAAAACACTAAAGCCCTAGATCTGAAAGCCCTTAAACCCGAAACCCTGGAGGCCATGAAAGATCTGGAGCAACAGGGGCCAGCGCAAGCAGCTCGCATCTTTCGAGAGCTAGAGCCCTCCAGCTTCCTCAAGGCCACGGAGAAAGCCTGCGGTTCAGAACTTGTGGTTTAAGGTTTAGGGTTCAAGGTTTAAGTTTAAGATTTAAGGTTTAGGGTTTAGGGTTTAAGAATACCAGGGGAACTTTAGGGGTGTAAAGCTTTTTGGATGATGGGGTGGTTTAGGGTTTAAGGATTTGTTGGGTCATCTAGGCTTAGGGGTACTTAGAAATAATTTTTAATCTTTGGCTACTATAAACCCTAAGAAGCAGCTAAAATTATAATTTTTGCTAGGGGTCTAAGTTCAGTATAGTAGGGTTTAGTGACTGTCGGGGTCTAGGGCTTGGGGGATCCCGTTTCTTGTTTGAGAGGATCCCGGCTTCTGAGAAGCCCCACGGGTTTGGGGTTTAGGGTTTAGGGTTGAGGCGCGTGATGTCAACGATGCTTCGAGTCGCCTTGTCCGGCTTGCTTGGAGCTTGACAGGTGAAAAAATGTGTCTGCGCAAGCTTCTCTGCTTTGTGAATGTAAGGGGTGAATATCAGGGTAGTACAAGCCCTATAAGGCTCCAGGTATGTATATAGTATATACATAGGCCTTAAAGTACCTCGATAGGAACCCCATTAAGGCCTAAGTATATACTATATGGGTACATGGAGCCTTTGAGAAGGGTATCTAGAAGGTACTGTTTGGTTATGGGAACCCTAGCTACTCATGCCTGCAAGCTCTGCAAAACCCCGCAGTGAACCCCCGAAAGCCCTTCAACATGCACGGAAGCTCAGAGTAGGATCGTCTCAAGCCCTTATTGCTCAAATGCCCAAACCCTAAACCCTCAACCCTAAAGCCCTAAACCCTGAAGCCATAAGCCTTAAACTCCAAACCTAAACCCGAAAACCTATGCCCTAAACTATACCCTCAGCCCTGATTTGAACCATGAGAGAAGCGGCGGGTGCTAAACCATGAAACTCTAAGGCTCAAAATGGCCCAAAGCCTTCTATAGTATGGTCTTTGGGCCCCAAGAGAGCAAACTTGTCCTGAGAGCCTCAAGGGTAAGGTTTAGGGTTCAGAAAAGCGTTTAGAAACCAGAACACACTGACTAACGCCGAGCACTTAGAACCCAGAAAACGCAGCCTGTAGCATTCTTGCGAAAACTCGTATAACCCGACAACCTCAAAACCCCCCGAAAGCCAAACGACCCACAGAAGCCTGATAGAAGCCTTGAGCCATGCAGCCTTGTATCCATATAGAAACCTCTGACCTTTATTGACATGTTAAACCCCTTTGGAAACTTTCAGCCCTCTAGAAATCCCAAGCCCTTTTGAAGGCTTAAAAGTTATAGAAACCTTACACCATTACAGAAACCCAAACCTGTATAGCTTCGACACTTTACATCATCCCTAGACCTTGCAATATCCCTTAGTCACGTAATATACCCTACTCGTAAGTTATAGTAAGATCTCTAAAATGATATAAGGTATACTCCTTGGTCAAAGGACTTTAGAAGGTCTGGGCACCTTTTTTAGAAACCTAGCCCTACATCCTTAAACCCAAACCCTCAAGTGCATAGACACCGTAAACCCTAACACAGAGAAATTTTGGACCCTAAACCCTAAATCCTAAAACCCTAAACCCTAATCCCTAAAAAAACCTAAACCCAAAACCCAAACCCTTAGACCCGAAACGTCCGAATTTCCCATCCTCGGGGTGATGTGCCTTGCTGCCGAAGGAGCGCCCGACGGCACCAAGCCCAACGAGGCTCTTTGTTTTGTTTAGGGTTTAGGGTCTAGAGTTCCGAGTTCCGGGGTTTAGGGTCTAGGGTTTAGGGCCTCGAGTTTATGATTTAGGGTTAAGGGCCTCGAGTTTAGGATTTAGGGTCTAGGGTTTAGGATTTAGGGTCTAGAGTTCCGGGGTCTGGGGTTTAGGGTCTAGGGTTTAGGGTTTAGGGTTTAGGGTTTAGGGCCTCGGGTTTAGGATCTAGGGTTTAGGGTCTGGGGTTTAGGGTCTAGAGTTCCGGGGTCTGGGGTTTAGGGTCTAGGGTTTAGGGTTTAGGGTCTAGGGTTTAGGGTCTAGGGTTTTGGGTTTAGGGTCTAGGGTTCAGGGTCTAAGGTTTAGCATTTAGGGTTAAGGGCCTCGAGTTTAGGATTTGGGGTTTAGGGTTTAGGGTTTAGCATTTAGGGTTAAGGGCCTCGAGTTTAGGATTTAGGGTCTAGGGTTTAGGGTCTAGGGTTTTGGGTTTAGTGCCTCGGGTTTGGGGTTTAGGGTCTAGGGTTTCGGGTGTAGGTCCTCGGGTTTAGGATTTAGGGTCTAGGGTTTAGGGCCTAGGGTCTAGGGTTTAGGGTTTAGGTCCAGGGCCTGGGCTAGGATTCCGGGTTGCGGTGTTATGGTTCAGGGATTCAGCTTAGGGTGTCAAGGCTTTTGTTCTCCGGAAGTG